GCATGCGTATCGAGGCCCTTCTGGGGACCCCAAGAGAGCCCCATGGATTTAGGGACATCCAATTATGTTCACCTCACCGCCACCCCCAGCAACAAACTGCGACGACAGAGTGTGGCTGTTGTTGTGTTATCCGTCCCCGTCTAAAGCGCACGTGACGCGCGAGTAATGATGCCCGCATCTCGAGAACCATGATCTGCCAAGCAACAGTAAACGCGAATCCCCCCCAGCACTGCCGACAGAATGCGCTACTTTGGCTTCGAACCCAGATCACTTGATCTGGGCGCCAGTCGAGACAACGCTAAAGCCATGGACGCAAGTATGGTTTGACCTTGGATGTTTGCGGCCCTCGGCGGCCGCACGGCGCTACCAGCGCGCGGACAGCTAATGTAACGTTTTGGTGGCGGGGGCGGGGGAAGGGGAATCGCGGAAAAGCATGCTGCAACAACGAGGGGGAAGGTACTGGAACACCGAGGCTGGGGACAAGGCAAAAGGTTCCAGCACTCGGGGCGACACACCGTTGCACCCGCGCGAGTTCTTGCAATTCTGGGCAAAGGCGCCCAGACGCACAGGAACAAGTGACTGCAACATTGCAAAGAAACTAAAAACGCAAGCAACAAACTATGATGTTACAGTGGGGCCGCGGGGCCGCACATTACAGAAACTTCACGAAACGCAGAAACGTGCTACTGTAATGACAGGAGACACAGCATGCCCAATAGACGTGATGTTATAGTATTTCGACCTAGCTAGACACCGCCATCACGCCACTCAAGGCGCCGCGCAACTTCAACCAGACCAGAGCGTTACATTAACATCAGTGGTGATATTTCAGCCAGACCGTCCCTCAAGAGGGAGAGGAAGAGAACAACCAAACGCGCAAGGACACCAAAGAAATGATCCTGGCGAGGGACCCAACCATATGCAGTTGTGAGCAACACAAATGTGGGTATCGAACTCGGTGAACCTTTCTGGGGTCACGACGCGTGTGACGGGTGTGCCAAAATTGGCACGGGTACGTCATGCGGACGCTGCCACCGGAACCATCGGTGGAGCCCCATGTGAAGCCACGGAACGTGTGAGGAGAGCGCTCGAACCCACGGTGGAACCGCGTGCGGGCGCTGCCACTACTAGGGCCTTCGGTGGAGCTCCCTCTGGGGCCGCAGAACGTGTGAGGGGTGCGCCGAAATGAAGGTGGAACTGTATGCGGACCCTGCCTTTGGGGCCTTGGGTGGAGCTCCCTCCGTGGCCACGAAACGTGTGATGGGTGCGCCGAACTGGAGGTGGAACTGCATGCGGACCCTGCCACTGGGGCCTTCGTCGGAACACCCTATGGAGCAACGAAACGTGCAAGGGTTCCGCCGAACTGGCGGTGGAACTGCATGGACCCTGCCACTGGGGCCTTCGGCGGAGAACCCCATGAGGCCACGAAACGTTTGAGGGGTGCGCCGAACTGGAGGTGGAACTGCATACGGGCCCTGCCGCCTTCGGCGGAGCACCCAATGGGGCCGCACAACGTGTGAGGGGTGAGTCGAAATGGTGATGGAACTGCATGCGGACCCTGCCATTGGGGCCTTGGGCAGAGCGCCCTGCGGCCGGCACGATTGTCTGAGTAGCAATCGGGATAGGACTTATCGTTTCCGAAGATTCGGCGATCAAAAACGAGAATGCTCCTCGTCTGGATCTTGCTGTTCTGCCATTCCGTCTCTGCGGGTTTGGGGCTTGTTCGCGATCACCGATCGGAGCTCTAGAGGGAGAACCATCTTCCGACAATGCAACAACCTCTCCATTATTTCTACCCCGAGAGACCCGAGTGGTGATACTAGAAGAGGGAAGGCGGCCCTGCCCCGGGCCGCTCTCCTGTAGTTCATGTCCGTCGCGTTGTACAACTTGCTGTTCAGCGTTTCGCGAAGTGACGGACATTTCATCTGTCTCAGCATAGCCCATACCCGTAGTGACTACGTCGCGGGTTTTCGTCTGATAACCAATCTCCTGGCTGATTCAAACCCGTAACGACTACGTCGCGGCTTTCGGTTGATAGCCAATCTTTCCTCTGAGAAACGGGGTAATATGACAAAGGAATTAAGGTCTCGTGTTCACTCTGCTCAGTGGTAGAGGGTACGGGATGAGACATCGATAAGACAAGTAACAGGTAAGCAAATGTACTCTATCAGGAATAGTAAGTGAGGAGGCCGGCCGGCCGACGACACGAGTACGACGAGGGGACGACCCCTCGGCGCGCGCGTGCGAGCCAGCACGCTCCTTTTATCTCCTTTACGCACTAGCGTAGCTTGAGTACAAACACAGCTGCAGATAGTCACACAGTGCACAACAAAGCAAGTGATGTGAAAACCAGCATGAAGATGAGGCGGAGAGGAGCATATTCACTTGGAAACCAGTTCGGCGGGTTCCCGGACAGACGCAGAAATGTTTGACCTGCTGAATATGTTGGAGGCTCAGATTTCGGAACTCAAGCTTATGGACAACACGCAGAAAATCGATGGGAACCAGAACGAGACGTTGCGGTGGTCGGTGGCCTTCAGACGACTGGCAGCACGGAGAACGCCAGAAAGAAAATGAAAGAGAACAAGTCAAACCTCTACGGGCCGCAGCCGGCAAAGGTGTACTTTTTACAAAGGGGATTCGTGGACTCATCTTCGTTCGATTCGGGAGCCGCGCTGACAGGGACACTGGGTGAAACTCCTCCGCCAGGCCTCTCTCAAGGAGGGCAGGAACGATATTTGGGCAAAGCGGGACATGGCTCTCCCCAAGAGCATCCTCACGTCCTCCGCGTTTAGCGTCAAGCACCTTCTCGAGCAAAGGGGGGTTCACGGCCGAGAGCGTCTGGGCGGACCCGGAGGAGGGTGTGGGTTGGTGCTGATGTGGCGGTGAGCGGGAGGATCGTTGGCAACAAATTCGAGACTGACTTTGGCACGGTCTGGGAGGAATGGTTCAAGCCGGACGGATACACCAATTTCCAGGACTTGGTCGAGAACCTCAACGCCAAGCTCGGCAAGATCCCGTCCAAGGGCCCAGGAAAGAGAGAGGGAAAGGGAAGGCTGCCGTCAAGGGCAGCAAGTAGGGGCGCCAACAGTGTGTGAGCAGTGACGTTTCACCTACAGGACATAAACATCCAGCTGGCCAAGCCACGTTGTCACTTTCTACGGCTCGGGGTGGTGACACACTTTCTCCAGGACGTTGTTGGCGTGGCTGCTAGACATGACGTGCCGTTGTCGACCCATCATTTCTTGTTGAGTGCGTGTGTCCGCATGTCAGTTGAAAAGATGGCACCTGCGGGCTAGAGTCCACGTCCTGATGTCACAGCCCTCTCCGACCCACACGCCGCTTGTTATGTCAACGTGAACATGCTGAGTGCTTTGGAGGGCTTCGAAGACACAGCAACTGACGGGGATGTCAAGTTGAGGTGGACTCATATAGTGGCCAGCTTCCATCACGCTGCAGAACGCACGTTGCCTTTCGCTCCGAGGCGGACCATAATTAAGGCATTGGACGAGTACCGGAACGCTGGAGCTGATCGAGCGCTGAGTGAGCGCCAGAAGGCAGGGCGACATGACGAGGTGAAGCGCTTGTCTAAGAAAATCCGCGATTCATTTGCCAGGGACAAGGCCGCTTGGATCGAATCGGTCACAGAATCCGCAGATTGGAATCAGATTCGGAGGCTCTTGAAAGGCCCTGTCCACAGGCAGGGCAGGCTTCGTGACGTTAACAAGGGCAGGCTGTGACTGTGGCCGGCTACCTGGAGAGGGTGCAGTGGGCAGTCAGACCCACGTCAGTGGCCCCGCCAGCGGCTGCCCGCACTGCCGACAATGACTTGCCTATCTCCATGGGCGAAGCTGCGAAATTGAAGCGTGGACGCGCTTCTGGCCTTGACGGGGTGCCACCCGAATTCTGGAAAACAGCGGCAAGCGACGCAGGATGTCTCCCGAGCTATCTGGCACAGTTCTACACCGACGTCTGGAGACAAGGTAAGATCCCAGAAGTTTGGAGGCACGCGAGGGTGTCAATGTTGTTCAAGAAAGGCGACCCTGCAGAATGCGAGAACTACCGCCACATCAGTATCAGAACTGACTTCAAGGTGCTTGCAAGAATCTGGTCGCATTCGACTCTGAGTGGGAGACAGAGGCTACGCATATTTAACACTTTCGTTGTTTCCAAACTCACATCTGTATTATTCACTGCATGCCTTAACCAAGCCGAGCGAAGACGGCTCAACGGCTTCCAGAATTATTCTCAGACGGATTTGCAGAATCCCCCCGTCGTACATCAGTCGGGTGTCGAATCGTACAGTTCTGCAGATTGGCCAACAAATGCCTTTGAACGATAGTCTCACGCATAGACAGATATTGTACATGGGCCATTTGGTCAGAAGACCCGACGAGGATCCAGTCAGAAGCTCGGTGTTTGAGCCGGGCGGTCTGGATCTCAAGAGCCTCCTGGGAAAAGGAGAAGAGGCCGCCCGAGACAGTCTTGGGGGCCCATGGTGCTAAAGAATTGCGAGAGTGTTGCCAGCTCCCATGAGCGACTTCCTGAATACTTCCGCCGAGAGGGCGGTGCATTTCGCAAATGGGAGCAGGCGGTCAAGGCATGGGCGGCGTGCTGAAGGCATCCGCTTCCGTGCACACTTTCACCCATTGCTCACGCGCTGTGGCCGGCGCAAGGCTTCTGGACTGGACTGGACTCCTCCTTCTCTTCATCATCATCCTCTCTTCTTTCCCCAAATGCTTCTACAACGGCTGGGGAAGCACATTGTCCAACAGCTTGCACAAGCTTTAGCCAAACGTTTGGCTACATCGGCATTTCCAGAAAGACAGGGGGCAGCGGTGACTCGCCGTATAGGCGTCTTCGATGACCACCAGGCGGTCGCCCCCGACGAGCGCGGTCCTCGCCTCGTCGGTGCACCGCGCCAGGGGTGTGGCGCCTTCGGCGCGAGATGCTTGTCGATTCGGGGCTGTCGGTGAGGGCAACGCGCCCCCAATACTTGTCACGAAACGCAGAACCGTCTTGGAGCGCCGTAAGTGTGGCGAAACTGCTACTGGTAGGGCACGAGCAGGCAGTAACCGCAAGACGCACGATTGCCTCAAGCGGGGGCATGCGCACGACCGCCCAAACAAACTCGATCATGTCTTCCTTCCTCCTCGTCAGGAGGCGACGGCGGAAAGTGTGCGGTCGGGATCTGGCGCGCGTGCGCAGGTCCTCCGCGAGCGTGCCAACAACGGTCTCCCCGGGCTGGAGGGAGACGCCTCCGCAAGCGCTGCTGTGGCAGTAGGCACGGCGGCCGTCCACGAACTCTATGAACCCGTAGGTCCCCAACCACGACATCACCACGCCCGCGGTCTTGCCCGCACTGGGAGGCGCCACCGGGTGTCAGGGGGAGGCGGTGATCGAGAAGGAGCAAGTTCAATGGCCCTACTACCCCTAATCATCCTCCCGCCCTCTTCCGCCCTATTCCTCCTTCTCCTCCTCCTCCTCCTCCTCCTCCTCCTCCTCCTCCTCCTCCTCTTCCTCCTCCTCTTACTCCTCCTCTTCCTCCTCATCCTCCTCCTCCTCCTCGTCCTCCTCCTCCGACCCGTCACCATCATCATCATCATCACCAATCACCATCATCGTCATCGTCAGCATCATCATTATCATCATCATCATCAGCAGCAGCAGCGGCACCATCACCATCAGCATCAGCATCAGTATCAGCATAAACACCACCAACATCATCATCAGCAGCATCAGCATCAGTATCAGCATCATCATCAGCATCATCATCACCACCACCACCACCATCATCATCATCATCATCATCATCATCATCATCAGCAGCATCATCACCATCAGCATCATCAGCATCATCATCAGCAGCATCATCCTCATCCTCATCCTCATCCTCATCCTCACCATCATCATCAGCAGCAGCATCATCACCATCAGCATCATCAGCATCATCATCAGCAGCATCGTCAGTATCGTCATCATCGTCATCAGCAGCAGCAGCATCGTAGGCAGCATCATCATCGTCATCATCATCATCAGCATCATCATCGTCATGATCATCATCATCATCATCAACATCAGCATCATGGTCATCATCATCATCATCATCATAATCATCATCATCATCATCATCAGCATCATCAGCATCGTAATCGTCATCGTCGTCATCATCATCATCAGCATCATCATCATCATAATCATCATCATCATCGTCATCGTCATCGTCGTCAGCATCGTCATCAACGTCATCATCATCATCATCAGCATCATCATCATCATCGTCAGCAGCATCATCATGATCGCCATCATCATCAGACTCATGATCATCAGCATCATCAGCATCATCATAATCATCCGAATCGTCAGCATCACCATTATCATCTTCATCTGTATCATAATTAACATCATCAGCGTCATCATCAGCATCATTATCGTCATCATAGAAGTCATCAGCTACAACATCATCAGAATCGTCATCGCTACCGTCATCAACATTTTTTCCCGTCGAGAGAATCTAGAGCACGAAACACTGCATAAACGGGGTCTGGACTGCCAACGCTTGCGTCAAGCGCAAAGCAATCAATTCACTTAAAGTGGTCCCTCACGGCCCGCCGCTGGACGACAAGGAACACACGCAAAAGGGAGGCCAACAAGAAGGGGCGGACTGCGCAAAATGGCATCCAGAACGAAGTTGCAAGCGGACGTAAAAATCAACACCTGGCCGAACTTCGAATGACAATTAGTGCCCGCACATATTCCGTGCAGAAGATAAGAGAGGGAGGAGGAGGAGGAGGAGGAGGAGGAGGAGGAGGTGGAGGAGGAGGAGGAGCAGGAGGAGGAGGAGCAGCAGGAGGAGAAGCGAGCTGCAGCAGGGGCCAACCTCAAAACGAGGAACGGCGGTACGTCCAAAATCCCACCAGCCCTTTGGGTGTGAGTGGTTTAGAGAGCCCGCTCTGTTCTCAACCCCCTTCTTCCCCTTCGGGGAGGGGTTTACCCCTCCCCCTACCCCCTCCCCCTGGGCCTGGAGAGGGCGCCCCGCGGGTGGTTGGAGGGGTCTTTTTCGACTCCTGGGAGGGCTAAAAAACGACACCCCTCACGAGGATTCTGGCCCCGACGGGGGGGGGGGGGCAGAAAAATGCTCCCCTCTTCTTTGAAGCCAAAATCATTGATTTTACTATGGTTTTGGCCCCATTTTGGCCTTCTGAGGGGGCAGCGCTAATTAAAGCTCCCCTCGTCCTTTCAAGCCAAAATCATTGATTATACTAAGGTTTTGGCACCATTTTGGCCTTCTGAGGGGGCAGCGCTAATTAAAGCTCCCCTCTTCTTTGATCGATGTCCTCCAAGATGGCCCCAAGAAGCGCCCAGGAGGCACCAAGAGGCCCCAAGATGGCCCCAAGAGGCCCCCAGGAGGCCCCCAAGAGGATCCCAAACGGCCCAAAGAGGCCCCCCCGAGGCACCCAAGACGCCGAAAAGCCCATCAGGACGACCCTCTACTCGCCTGGGCGTCGTTTCTGGACGGGCAGGAGGAGGGGCCCGAACGACTCACACCAGGACGAGGGGCCCGAACAACTCACACCACGAGAAGCCCGAACGACTCACACCAGGACGAAGAGCCCGAACGACTCACACCACGAAGAGCCCGAACGACTCACACCAGGAAGAAGGGCCCGAACGACTCACACCAGGACGAGAAGCCCGAACGACTCAAACCACGAGGAGCGCTTTCTCTCCCTCCTCCTCCGCCTCGTCCTTCTCCCGTTCCCACCACAAGGAGGATGTACAAGGAGGCGGGAGGAAGGAGGAACAGGGGAGATATGCGGGGGCAGGCGGAAACACGCCTGAAAAACACGACTGTCGGCATGCTTCGCAAGAGTTGCTGTTTTGAGATGGGCTGGTGGGTATACGCGAAGCGTGAAGAATTGACATGCTGTCTGTCGCAATCCTGCTTTCAAAACTCGATGGCGCCAGCGGCCCATCGAAAAGACCAATCTGCAAGAAACGAAAACGAAGCATCCCCAAGCACTCGGAAATCCCTCGCGAGCGCGGCTCCAGCCAGAACGAATCTAGGAGTCAGAGAAGCGGCAGCGGCGGCAGCGGCAGGGCGAGCGGAGGAAGGAAATCCCACCACCCCTACCCCTCCCCCTACCCCCTCCCCATGGACCTGGACAGGGGGTTTCGCGAGTCGGCAGGGCGTCCAAAACGGCCTCGGCGAGGAAGCCAGTATCATTGATTTCCAACCAACCTGTGGTGTTGGGTCCTCGTTTTGAAGAGACGGTGCCCCGCGTCTCATCCTTCCGGTGCCCCCCTTCCTCCTCCCTCCTCCCCCTCCTTGCCTCTGCTCTCGGCGCACCCCTCGCACGGTTCGTAGCCCCATAGGGAGCTCCACCGAAGGTCCCAGTGGGGGTGTTTGCACGCGGTTCCCCCACCCAGGGCAGCACTTCGTGGCCCCATAGGGAGCTCCACCGAGGGCTCCACTGGGGGTGTTCGCATGTGGTTCCCCCACCCACGGCAGCGCTTCGTGGCCCCATAGGGAGCTCCACCGAAGGCCCCACTGGGGGTGTTCGCATGCGGTTCCCCCACCCAGGGCAGCGCTTCGTGGCCCCATAGGGAGCTCCACCGAAGGCCCCAATGGAGGTGCTCGCATGCGTGTCCCCCACCCACGGCAGCGCTTCGTGGCCCCATAGGGAGCTCCACCGAAGGCCCCACTGCGAACAGTGTTCGCATGAGGTTCCCCCACCCAGGGCAGCGCTTCGCGGACCCATAGGGAGCTCCACCGAAGGCCCCACTGGGGGTGTTCGCATGCGGTTCCCCCACTCAGGGCAGCGCTTCGTGGCCCCATAGGGAGCTCCACCGAAGGCCCCACTGGGGGTGTTCGCATGCGGTTCCCCCACCCAGGGCAGCGCTTCGTGGCCCCATAGGGAGCTCCACCAAAGGCCCCACTGCGAACAGTGTTCGCATGCGGTTCCCCCACCCAGGGCAGCGTTTCGTTGCCCCACGGGAAGCTCCACCGAAGGCCCCAGTGGGGGTGTTCGCATGCGGTTCGCCCACCCGGGGCAGCGCTTCGTGGCCCCATAGGAAGCTCCACCGAAGGCCCCAGTGGGGGTGTTCGCACGCGGTTCCCTCACCCAGGGCAGCGATTCGTGGCCCCATAGGGAGTTCCACCGAAGGCACCAGCGGCTGCTCTCGCATGCGGGTCCCCCACCCAGGGCAGCGCTTCGCGGCCCCATGGGGAGCTCCACCGAAGGCCCCAGTGGCTGCTCTCGCATGCGGTTCCCCCACCCAGGGCAGCGTTTCGTGGCCCTATAGGGAGCTCCACCGAAGGCCCCAGTGGCTGCTCTCGCATGCGGTTCCCCCACCCAGGGCAGCGCTTCGTGGCCCCATAGGGAGCTCCACCGAAGGCCCCAGTGGCTGCTCTCGCACGCGGCGAATCTGGGAAGGAGCGCCCAAGAGAACGCGCCGCCGCGCGCCGCCCACGCCATCATGGACCCATGACGCGCACGGCAGCGGCGCAGACGAGCAGCGCGGGGAAGCGCGAACGGTCGGTGGAAGCGCGCGCGCGCTCGAGGAGAAACCTAAGAGCGGTCGCGAACCCCCTTGGCGGGAAGCTCCGGCGCGGGGTGATCGCCAGCCCCGCTCGCTCGCCACGCGCGCAGCCACCGAAACAGCGCCCGAGCCCGCGCGCCGACTCGCTTCGCGCTGGCGCGCCAAACGCTCCTGCATCCTCACACCGCGCTGTCGCGCCGAGCACACGGTCGCCCCCGCTGCGCGCTGCCGAGGCAAGCACCTGGTGACCCTGCCCTCCTCGAGGAAGGACGCCCGCATCTGGGCGCCAGCCCTCTGGGGCTCGCCGAACTCGGAGCACGGCAATAGCAAGCGACCGGCGCTCGACCTCGCGAGGCCGCGCACCGTGGAACCAGGGCCAAGCGACATCCTGTAGCCGCCGCTGCCAACGGGGTAGACCGCGTCGCTGCGTCGATGAATCGACGAGGGCCGAGGAGAGCCAACACGTCGCCGCCGCGGATGCCTCTACACGTGAGCCTACAGCGCCGCCGTCCAGGCCGATGACGTTCGCGCCCTTGCGATGGCACTCGCGGGCGCGCTTGCTATCCCCACGACCTTGAAATCAAGGGCCTGCTCGGCAGCAGGCCCAGATGCCCCAGCACGGCTGCAGCGCCGGGCCCGGCGCTCGCCCCACTTGCCCCCCCCTAGGTGTCAGACGATTCGGGGTCAACCAAAAGCGCCTCGCCCTCGCGGTCGGCCATCCGTACCAGATACGAAATCTGCCCGCGCCCCTCCCTGGCTGGCGCCACCAGGGAAGCGGGAGAAAGGCCCTGGGACGCGCGTCCGGGCACGGGTCACGCCAGGGCCCCTGGCACGCCCTCGCCCGAAACATGGCACTCGCCCCCCCGCGATGCACCCCGGAGCGGCGGCATGCGCATCTGCGGAAGATGCCCCATCATCATAAAAATCAGCCTCGCACGCGCGACGCGAGTTGTCCATCTCCAATTGGACGAAGCACTGGTGTTGACCCCGCCCCACGCGGTCGCGGCGACACGGAAAATACGCACCAGGGGAAGGCGCCCGTCTGACGAGACCCCCAACGGACGCGCTGCCGCTGGCAGCGGAGTCGGCCTGGGTCGCGCTGGGACCAGCTCGGCGGCGCTGTTGGCGCGGGCAACCTTCGACGAAGTGCTGGTCGGAATCACGCGCATAGCAATTGAAATCTGCCAAATGCGACGACGGGGTCGCCCTTGCCCCCCCCCGCGCCCGGGCCCGCGGCCACCCCCGCCGCCGGACAGATAGCTGGAGTCGATGGAGCGGCCAGCCCCGCACGCAGCGGCCACCGCCGAACAGGCCCGCGCCAGCGCGCCAGCACCCAGAGCAGAACCCCCCAGAAGCCGTAGATTATTGCTCGCACCCCTGTCCTTGCCCATTCCTTCCCCGCAGCGGTCGCGACGCGGGGTCCTGCCAGCGAGCCTCCGGAAGCGACGCTTAGCGACCGTGCACTGGCGCAGACGGTCGTCGCTGGCAGCTCCGGCGAAGTCCCCGCAGGATTCGAGGTTCTCGGCGTCCCCATGGAGATCCTGACCGCCCGAAAGTAACGCACTCTCACTGGAGGCGAATGGAACCTCGCCTCTGCCGGTCGCCGCGAAGGCGCCCATTCCACAGACGTCGCTGCTCGGAGTAGGAGCCCACATCCGCTGCCAAGCGCCAGACTTTCTCAACGGCCCTCGCTCCAGCGCGGGAACGTTCGAGCAGGCGGCGCTGGTCTCGGAACCGCGCCAGCAGCCGCTCGAAGCCCTGCTCGTCGCGTGGGAGGCGGACTGCGTGGGACGACAGCTGCAGGGTCCAATGAACCATGCGGGTGCCCAACTGGTGGAGGAGCATCCAGCAAAGGCCGCCCACGCCAATCCAGAAGTCCCCGAAAGGATTGGCACACTGCTTGATGAGCTCGAAGCGGCCCAGGCAAAGTCGTCGATCGCTTCACGAAGCCAACGAAAAGCGAAGAGCTCGATGACGGAGGTGACGGATGTCTCCAACTCGGGCGACCAGAAGGGCGGGTCTCTTGCTGGTGCTCAGCATGTTGACCGCTGTTGCTGCGGCTGCACCCCAGAAAACCACTTGGTAATCATTGTCGACATACTGCTGGTTCAACATACTGCTGGCTGAAGAAGTGGAGGATGTAGATGCTGCTCGCGTGACAGAACTGGGCGTCTAAAAAGCTAGGCGACTGCACCCAGGTGGATGGACAAAACTCATGCTGTGTTCGACGGGTAAGGTGCCCCGGCGCCGAAGCTAGCGGGGGGAACGAGTAGGGAGCCTGGCGCATGGTGAACCTCCGCTCCCAGAGTAAAAACAAAACTGCACGAAAATTAAAAAATGGTCAGTCTCAACGCGCATTGCAGCGGGAAGGGGTGAAGCAAGAATTGGAAAAGAGGAGCGAAGCTTAGGGGCACTAGTACGACAAACAACTACGCGACAGTCAACAGAATCACAGAACACCTGGACTTGGGCGCCGCAAGATCGCCCCACGACGAAATGCTGCTGCTGCACTGAGACAGTCTCGCGGTCACATGGGCGAAGGGCGAAGCTGGCCTCTGGGCGATCACGCCTAAGCGGGCGCGGCTCTTGCAGGCCTACCGCTGGAGACAAGAAGACCTGGGCCGCCAGGTGGGCACGCAAGATGCGCAGCTGGCCAGCGCGAGACCAGGGCGCTGGACAACGAGGAGGGCGCTGGATAACGACGGGGTTGTTGACATCTCGGATCTACGTAGTCTTAGCATATCAGCAGATCATTGATGGCAGCAGGCCGTAGACGACGGTGTCGAAGTTGCGGCCACTCAGGTTCAGACGGAGTCCATCCTATCGCAGCCCGAGGGTCAACGTCAGCCAGATCCTGGCATGGTCCCAGCAGCCGCCGACGCTGCCAAGAAAAACGACACTGGCGCAAGGCCGCAGGACCCTGGCGAGCAGGCAGGCCCGGGCGCGAAAGGCGACGGCAACCAGGACGTGCTGCCGACTTGGCCAGGCGTGCCGTGGCAGCCGGCTTCTGCATCGCGGCGTCACTGTCCTGGAGGTGCAGGAAGACCCGCCAAGGTTGCTTGCTCGGTGTCTGATCTGCACGCAGCAGACCCAGGGCCGCGAGGCACCTGCCCAGGCCCCGCCCACCCTGGCAGCTGCGGCAGCTCCGCGAGCCGAAGTCTGGGCGGGTGTCGGCCATGCTGCGGCCGCCCGCGGAACGTCCGACGGCGCTGTGCTGGGCCGCCTCTGGACGCGGGCGCGGAGGCTGGCGGGCACGCTAGGTTAGCACTCGCGAGAGTGCCGCAGCCCAGAGGAAAAAACAGCCAAGCAGCCTCCTCCTCCTCCTCCTCCTCCTCCTCCTCCTCCTCCTCCTCACCACCACCACCACCACCACCACCACCACCACCACCATATTCCTCCAACTCCTCCGCCCATTCTTTCTTCCTGCTCCTCCTTTTCCTCTTGCTCCTTCACCCCCTCCGCTCAAGCTCAATCACTCCTCATAGGAAGAAATGTATGCGGAGCTTAGAAAACTCACTATTATCCTCCGCCTCCTCCTCACAATCATCCTCAGCATCCGCCACTACATCCACCTGACTTTCTCCTCCCTCCTCTCACCGCTTCTTCATCATCCTCGTTCGCATGTTGATACTAATCTTCACTCACTCCTCCGTCTTTCCTGCTGCGTGTCAACCTTTCCACACCCTTCCTCACTATCCCTTCCCCTCCCTCCTATTATCACCTCCCTGTCAGTATTTGTCCATCCCTCGCCCTGCTTCTCCATCTCTGTCACTCTATTTCTCTCTTTCTCTCTCTCTCTCTCTCTCATTATCTCTCCTTATCTCTCTCACTCCCTCTTCCTCCTCCCCTGGAGGTCGGCGCGGGTCTCTGGACGTCCCGGAAGACCACTCAGGCCCGGCAAGACCCCACAGGCTTCACCTCTGGGGAGACCTCGGGAGGCCGAAGAAGCAATGAGATCCAAAAGCGGTCTCCTCACCCTCATACGCCTCCTCCACCGCCCTCGACCCCCCTTCCTCCCCTCTCCAAAGTGGAAACAGTACGTCGGATCATCAGGAGCATAGCTCATTATTGCCCTTCCTTCTCCAGGCAGGAGGCAGGGGGCTTCATTCCCACTCCTCTCTGCTCTGTGTCGTCCCAGCTGCACCGTACCTGCTACGTTCTCCCTCTTCAACTGCGATTCCTCCCTCCCTCCCTCTCTCCCTCCTCCCTGCAACTCCATTGCCCCTCCCGGAAGGGGGAAAGAGAAGGAGTCCGCAGTCCAGAGGGCGAAGAAGGGCAGGAGAAAGGAGTGAGGGGATGAGAGCGAACACAGAGGACAAAGAAGCGGAGATAACGAGATAAAAGAGAGGGAGAGCGGAAGAGGGACGTGGGAAAAGGGAGGAGAGACGAGCAGGGATGAGGAAGGAAGGGGGACCTCGCAAAATATTTCAGACAGAGCTATGTTTCCGTGAAGGGTTACAGCATGAGGGATGAGAGAGGAGGGAGGAAAAAGGAAGAACAGGGAGGAGGTAAGCAGGAGGGCGGACGAAGAGTAGGAGACAGAAAAAACATAAGGAGGGAGACGAAATGTCGGCAGTTCCTTCCGACTGGCAGCGCGACCGCCTTCTCCACGTCGGTGGCCTGTCGCCCACAAGCAACACAACGCGGCGCTAGCGATCGTCATCATCGTCATCATCGTCACTATCATATCACATCAACCATCGCTGCCATCTCCAGTAGTACCGTCACCATCACCGTCATAATCAACATCCTTGTCATTATGAACGACGACATGGTCATCAACGTCGCCGTCGTTATCGTCAAGACTGTTTTTGGTCGCCGCAACCGTCGTCGGCGTCGACGCCATCGCCGTCAACGTCACCGTCGTCGCCGTCCTCGTGCATGTATCCATCCCCCTGGTGCTACGATCGTACCGGCAACGACAGCCGTACTGGCAGCATTGGGGGCATAAGCAATAACCACATCGGTGCAAGGAGCAGTCAAAGCGGCACGAAACTAATATGATATCGTAGCAGCAGTAGCAACAACAGCGGTGGCAGAAAGGGAAGAGAAGACAGGGGAACGAAGGAGGCAGGGCAAAAGGACAAATGTGACAACTGGTGTCCCAATTTCTTGATACACTCAAGCCTTAAAAGCTGAAACGTTCAAGGCCCAGGGCTACCAAGCTCAAACCCAAACGGTCGCAGAACCTGATAGTTGTCGGTGGTATCTGGCTCGCAGCCAGAAGGCGAACTTCTGCGCACTTCTGGGGTGGGCAATGGAGTGCAAGACGCAAACTGGCCAGAAAAACTCGCACCGCACGCACGCAAAACATCATGACAACCACCTCCGTCGGCGCCACGCCCGACCAACATCTCGTTCGGAACTACAGAGCCGTAGATAGCGAGCCCCTGATGAACTCTTACACCCGTCATTGAGAAAAACGACGTCAGCATGACTGGTGAATTCTGCCCATATGGGCTCGCACAAGGGACAGCGGACATGACGAAGCCGCCCATCCATCGGGAAAGGCACGTACCAGAAAAAGGAACACCTCATCGGTCACGGACAAAAATCAAATCTACAACCAATATGCAATTCATTGGGGAACCAGCTTCACAACAGCCCGCAACAACAGAGAAAGATCACCACCTCTATCCAGGCAGCGATGGTAGCGCAGTGCCATGTACAACGAGGAAGGCAACGGCAAAGAGCATTTGGGAGTGCGCCGAGCAAACATCAGAACAGATGCGAGAAGTTGTAAAAATGCATGCCAAAACGAAGCCATGCGAATACACCTCTAATTAGCTATAGAGACAGAAGCCCACCGGGCCCTGAACATCAAGCTCGCTCTCGAACGCACGCAACGGAGAGTCTGTGTAGAACGCCCAGTGGCCCCACGCGAAACCAGTCAAACCGCCCTGGAAGAACATGCGCGGTAGGAGGGGCTGACACGCAACAGGTCGCCATAGCCAGGCTGGTGAGGAACAGCAGGAAGCAGCACAGGAGAGGAGCCGATGAGGACGCGGCCGTTCGAGCCAGGGAAGAACATGCCGATGATCGCCATCATGGCACTGGTACTGGTGGAAAGGGATTGATTGAATGATTGGGCAGCTGATTACGGCAGCTGTGATTCTGTGACTGATACGAAAAACGTGTGGCAGAGGCGGTCATTGCCGGAGAACGCCGATGCCGATGGGGTAAAGGGAGTGGGGGGGCGATGAAGAAAGAAAGTCGAATAAAAACTACCGAGAACTCAATGCTGGAGCTTCGCAGTGGCCAGCGCCACGCCCTCGTCCCACTGGGCGGCCGATTGCCCAATGCAGACGCGCGTGCGATGGCGCCCCGTGTGGTATTGGTCCTGGCGTGATTGAAGCCAGCGGCCATCGCGCCAAAGCACGAGTCTCGTGCTCCACTGTTGCTGGACATGGGCCCGCTTGATACTACCAGCCGCTTGCACCAAAAGGTTGACCAGTTTGCCGAGAGGTCGGTCTTCGCCTCCTCGGCAGCACCGAAACCCTGGCCCCGGACTAACCCCTAGAGCAGAACAGGTGAGGGAGGGAGGGAAGACCAGCAGGAACGAGGCGGAAGAATCCCAAAGGAAATCAGATCCCCAAGCTGGGTGGTGGGTATATTGGGGTCACACACTGTACCATGAAGGCACCTCATCGGAATATCAGACCTTGCGACGCCCGCCCTGGGGAAAAATGCCGGTGATTGAAGCACCATCAAAAAATCGAATTTTGGCACGCTCAAGACAATATTGCACACGCAACTACAAGCGCGCACGACACGCGCTGCGCGCCCACACGCACGACGTGATCCAACCACCCAGACAGACATACATCACACTCACAAAGACACACCGCAACACAACTGCAACGAAACATGTGCCATCGCGGAGTCTAGCCCAGCCAACGATCCTCCCCACGACGTGCGTCCTCCCCGCCTGTCGGCCAGGAAAGGGGTGCAAGGCCCCTCGCCGTCAAAAGCACAAGTACCCCCACCTGGAGGAGGCAGCGCAAGACCACCTCCCGGCGCCAAAAGGTAGCCCCGAAAAGCGACGACGGCCCGGCTGACAAGCGAAACCCGCGGACTCCCCACAGAACACCTCCGGCATCTGCAGCCCCCCGACGACGAATGCCCTTGGACCTCCACAATCGCCCCCTAGCCCTCCCCCAAACCCCAACCCAGACGACCCAATACCCGAAACGGATCGATTTGCAAAATCGTGACACCAGAAAGAGACACCCTAGGATCGGCCCGGAACACCCACGCGCGAAACAGAACCGGAACTGCCAGCCCCCTAGTGCTCAGACGGGTGCTGGCCTTGAGCTGCCCGACGTGGGGGGGGGAATTCAAAAAAATCCACACCGCCCCTGCACGCGCATGGCAGCGAGTCGTGCCCTCCCGCCACCGAGCAACTTCGATCCGACATGTAGCGGTGTGGGACACATGAGAGAGCCGTAGCCTAGAGCCCGAACAGGGGGGCCCAATTCCACGCCGCACCCAACCATGCATTGACCCTAGGGGGCGTCTTGAGGGACCGCCTGGGCCGAGAGAACCTGGACCTGGGGGCCCCCGTCCTGGGGTTGGCCGCCCGTGAGCGCCAGCCCACTTCCCGCTCGACAATATTCCAAGAGTGCCCTCCGGCGCCCCAGGGGGCGCTGGCCCTGGCCCAACGAGGCGGTTTCACTCACGGGCCTGGAGGGGCGCCGCGCCGTGCAGCGCAGCACCCAGAATTCGAAAGTGGTACCGACCAGAGAATTGAAGCGCGCATCCTCAGCCATCAGAACTCCCGTCCAAGTCGGCGGTCTGTGGACGTGCCGGCGTGGCTGGCTGGACCGCGCCCGGTACGGCGGCCCAGGGAGCAGGGCGTAGGCCAGTGAGAACTACGGGCGCGCCCCCCGTGGCATTTATTTCCGGAAATCCACGATCTGCGCCAAGTCCGCTGCGGGAACCTTGGAGATCGCACCGAGCGAACTTCAGACGCGCGGACGACGACAGTTACCCTGGCAGCTTGCCAGTGATCTCCGGAGTGACGCAGCCCATAGTCGCCAACATGGGAACGCGGCCGCGCCAGATTCACAACAGACGGCAACGATACGGAGTGATCACCACCTCCAGCCAAGCAAAGATGATAGCGCAGTGCCATGTGGAGCAGACAACGAAGAATACAACGGCAAAGAGCATCTGAAGGTGCGCCGGGCACACACCAGAACACGTGCGAGAAATTACAAAAAGGGGTGTACGACCGAAGCCGTGCGAATTCACGCTAGCTGTATAGACAGATCGTAAGCCCTGCAAGCGTACTGTAAGATCAAGCCACTATGGCGATTGTGTGCTGACCCACGAAATGGCTTGAAGTCGTCTGTCCCGCAAGCGTGCAATCGTGGAACATGTAGTCGATAGTCTCTGAGCCCATCAGGCAGCCCGGGCCATCCAGCCTCACCCCATGCTGGACGGCCGCCGAAGCACCGCCTCGCCTCCCCAGCCACCTTCATCCCCAGCATGCCTCGGGGCGGCTGGATCAACAGCGCCAGGGAGCCGAAACGGTCGAAGAAGGTCGCGGGCTGAGTTTTCTTACTCTCTCATTCTCTCTCTCTCTCTCTTTCTCTCTTTCTTTATTTACCATCTGTTTGTTTCGGCAAACAACCTGCGCCTGTCACGGTTTTCGCTGGCGGTCGTTCAGGCCGGGTGGAAAAAAAACAGCCACATTTTGTTGCACCGATTCGGGGTCACGAAGGAGGAGGAGCAGGAGGAAGAGGAGGAGGAGGAGGAAGAAGAGGAAGAAGAAAAATCCGCCGACCCCTTGGGGATCATCGGCGTGTGAGATGCTTCCCCCTCCCCAAACCCCTCCCCCGGGAGCCCGGTCCGGTCGATTTGGAGGGGGGGGGGGGTCCGGCACGAGCGCAGCACGGCCGGGACGAGCGGTTCACGGGGCTTTTCCGGGCCCAAGAGGGCCTCAAGACGGGCCAAGAAGCCCCCAAGAGGCCTCCAAGACGGCCCACGAAGGCCCCGAGACGCCAAACGACCGCTCCAAGACGCCCAAGATGGCCCCAAGACGGGCCAAGAGGTCTCCAAGACGGCCCCCGAGGTCCCAAACAAGCCTCCCAAGAGGACCCCAAGAGTCTAAAATTGTTGATTTTCCATAGTGTTTTTCGATGTTTTTTGCTTTTCCGCCTTTTCGGCTTCCCGACGCTCCAAGACGGCCAAAGAGGCCCCCAAGAAAGCCCCAAGATGGCCCAAGAGGCCCCCAAGACGGCCTCCAGACGGCCCAAGACGGCCCCAACACGGCCCAAGAGGTCCCCAAGACGGCCCAAGAGGGCTCCAAGACGGCACCAAGAGGGGCCCAAGAGGGCGACCAAACATGTTGAAACTCTAGCTTTCTGCCCCCAGGAGCCCCAGGGGGCCCCAAGAGTGCCCCAAGAGGCCCCCAGAGGCCCTCACGAGGCCGCCCAGACGCCCCAAGGAACCCCCAAGAAGCACCCCAGAGGCTCCGAAACGGCCCCCAAGTGGCTCCAAAACTCGCTTTTCACCCCTTCGCAGCTTCTACTACCCCCAGATTGGCATAAACAAGGGGTCGGCGGTGTGGCGTAAGCCTAAGAATCACTGGCCGCGGAGGCCATCGCCCGACTGCC